TACTTCCGGCCATTTTGTAAAACTATCTACCACTATTAAGTAGTAATAATCTTCTACTGGACCAGCGAAATCAATGTGTAATCTTGTCCACGGATGATCCGTCTTGGGCCATGGTTTGTGTACTATAGGTGGTGCCTTATCTGCTAACGCACACCCTTTACATCGATGAACCATGTTTGCGATATCCACATCCATTCATTTCCAATATACAAAGCTTCGCATTAAGCTTTTTGTTCTATTAACCACCGGGTGACCCATATGAAAGTCCCGAAGTATTCTTTTCTGCAACTTTTTTGGTATTACTACTCTCTCACCATATAATAAAACTCCTTCACCTATTGAATAAATCTCCTGCACTTTTTGGTCATTTGCTACCATTTTGCTTTTTATTTCTAAAATGAAAATCATCTCTTTCAACTTCTTTTTTAATTTCCTTTAGTGTAATCGGTAGCTCTCTTACAATGTTGTTTACCATGCTTTTCACCTCATAATCTGCTCTGATATTTGCAATAATTGATTCTTCGAATCTTTCTTCTTGACTCGGTACGAATCTTGATAAACTATCCGCATGAATTATATTTTTGGATGATAGGTGCTTTATGTGAAAATCATAATTGAGAAGAATGGTTCCCCATCTCAACAGACGATTTGCCGTATAAACGGGTAACACTTTCATTGAACCAAAAATAGTGATCAGTGGTTTATGATCCGTTTCAAGCAAAAAATGTCTGCCGTGGATGTATCTGTGGAATTTTGTTATGGCAAAAATGATACTCAATGCCTCTTTTTCTATTTGTGAGTAACTTCTTTCTCCTGGGAGTAAAGTTCTCGAAGCATGTGCAATTGGTTTTCTAGAACCATCTGGCATTATGTGTTGAATACACGCTCCTATCCCGTATGCACTGGCGTCACTTGCCACTACAATATCCAGTTTTGGATTGTAATGGGTTAAAAAGAGGTCGGACGTAAGCATTCTCATTATTTCATCAAAGGCTTTCTGACATTCTACCGTCCATTCCCATGCCTTGTTTTTTTTTTTAGCAGTTCATACAACGGAGCTCTTAGATTATGCATTCCTTTAATGAACGCTTGATAATAATTTGCGAGCCCCAGAAAACTCTGTAGCATCGCCACATTAGTGGGCGTCGGCATGTCTCTAATCGCAATGGACCTTTCCGGATCTGGAAATCTGCCCTTTTTGTTGATTATGTGACCTAAATACTTAATTTCCTCCAAACCAAATTCGCACTTTGACTCTTTGACTTTAAAACCAAAGTCCTGAATCTTTTTAAATACTTGATTGAGATGCTCTCGATGTTCGTTGACAGTTTCGCTCCTTACTATGATGTCGTCTAAGTAGGCGCACGCAAAGTCTAAATCATTCAACATGACGTCCATAGCTTGTTGAAAAATGGCTGGTGCCACTTTAATACCAAAAGAAGCCTGTTGTACTTGAATAACCCTCTATGCGTGTTTATCCCTAGTAACTTCGAACATTCCTCTTCGACGGGAATTTGGAGATAGGCATCTGATAAGTCGATTTTTGAAAATATAACTCCACCATTTAGCTTGTTAAAAATCTTTTCCGGACTCGGTAACGGGTAATGGTAGTCCTTAATTACCGAGTTCAACCCTGTCAAAAAATCAACGCAGACTCTGACTTGGTTTGATTTCTTTTTTATGCACACAATCGGCGCAGCCCATGAATTAGATTCTACTTTCGAAATAATTCCCATTTTTTCCAACCTATCAAGTTCTTCGTTAATTTTCTCTACACTTGCGAAAGGCACGTTACGTTTCTTTTTAAAAATTGGCATAGTATTTTCCTTTAATTCAAATTTGGCTTCAAACTTGTTACATCTTCCAAGACCAGGTGTGAAGGTTTCCGAAAACTTTTTCTTTAATTCTTCTTTAATGTCCTGTCTTGTTTGCGTATTACTTTCTACTTTTCTGCAGAATAAGTTTAACGGTTTATCCCACAATTCGAATGTTTCAATAAAATCTGTACCCATTAAGTTTTCTCCATTTTTCAGAATGAAAACTTTTATTTTTTTAACTGTCCCGTTCAATTTCATGGAAAGTACAACCTCGACTTCGAAGTTAATTTCCTTTCCAGTTACCGTTCGAGCGCATTTCATTGACTTCATTATTGTAGGCCTTTTTAAAATTTTCCATGTTTTATAGTTCATTATTGTTAAATCTGAACCCGAATCGAGTTAAAACTTTATATTCTTTTTAAATATTTCAGTCGTCACATATTTCCTCAAATCTCTATCTGATTTTATATTTGAATTTGTTTGTCTAATTCGGCTATTGACTTTTTTCGTTTTACAACACGATCCTTTGTGTCCATTCTTGTGGCACACGAAACATTTCTTATTTCTATATGGGCAATTTACCTCCCAGTGTATTTCGTTGCAACGTCTACAATTATATGGTGGAACCTTTTTTCCCTCCTCGTTCTTTTCATTTAATTTTTCTTGTCTATTTTTAAAATACGCCGAATGTTTACTCCAATTTTTTGCCTATGGGTAATTTGACTGTTTTTTTTTATTTTTTTAATATAAGCAATGCCAGCTTCTTCGATTTTTTGAGACTCTTTCTTTAAACTTACGACCCGCTGACACTCCTCTGCTAACTTTTGTAGGGTAAGGCTTTGTTCAGATTCGAGTTAATCAAAACTCTACGTCTTATTTCGGCACTCTTACTGGATACCAGTCCTTGAGCAACAATTAAACACTTGAATTCTTCAACCGTAATCTCTGTCAATCTGAAATTGTCACAATGTCTATTCACTATAGATGCATAAGTTAAGTAATCATGATCGTCGGATTTAGCGACATTCATGCATAACCATCGCTTATGCCAAAGCGACATATTTGCTCCAAACAACTCCCTTAGCAATTTCACTGTTTCCGAGAATTCCAATTCATTTGTCCTTCTCGGTAGAATAAAATCTACAAATTTACTATGTTCTGCTGTACCTAGCTTTCTTAGTAATAGACTGACTTTTCTTGAATTCGACCAGTTTTCACAGTCTGTGTAGAAAATATCTTCATATCGTTTAAAGTACGCTTCAAACGCTTTTTCTTCGTCTGGCCCATAGTTGAATGTTTCCAGCGAATTAAATATGATGTTATTAGAATATGAAGAATTTCCTTCATTTGCCTGATTGTTGTTTAATTTCTCCAGTGTTAACTTTTGAATTTCTAACCTTGATCTGCATTTCTTCCTGTTTTCCCAGTCTTTCCTCTTGATTTTCTTGATATTTTTGCTGTGCTATCTGTTGTTCCCTTATACAGTAAGGCAAACTGTTCACTTTGACGTTGCTGACTCAACTGCTGCGATTTGAATAATTCAGATATGACTTTGGATAATTCATCCATCTTTAGCTGATAGTGTTCATGCAACAAAGAATATACTTTTGTTTATCCACGGATATAATATAATCTAACCAGAAAAATCGAAACAACATACGACTTTTTTATTTTATGTCTTGCTTTATAAAATATTGTTAAGCAAACAAAAAAAAATTTTTTTTTTTTTTTAAAAGTTCGTTACTTTTCAAAGTCGACACGATGTATTTGTGCGCCTTTTAAATCCATGCATGTTTTTGTAGTCGGTCCGTTTTTTTTAAACCTCGTTTATTCGTTTACGAGACCTTTCAAATTTTTCTGAGTGAACGTTCCTTTATGCTTAGTCGTCCTTTAACGAGTTCTAAATATCCAGAAATTCAGAATCCTTCGCCGTTCCATTAGATGTTGGACTTTTAATTAATAATTTTTTTTCCTTCAGCCTGGGTTCTTCAATGACTTGTCCCAATTGTTGAAGGCTATCAATTATCAATTCTTTTTTTTTCGTATAGGTCTTTCTACCTCGTCGCCATTGTTGAAACTTGACTAATGCATGGAATAATAATGCAACACAAAATGTACTTAGAACAAAATGTATTGAAACAAGAAAGTGTACACAATATTTACATATAGTCTTTTGTATATTCCTGGTAAGACCGTTCCTGGAGAATGTGTTGACTGAGTCGCAATCGGGCAGAGTCTCTGGTTGAATCTCTTGATTCCTCCCTCTCTTCCCGGTACCAACCATATTTATATGGTCGGTATTCCACTATGCAAATTAGGTGGATCCTAAACAATTATTATTATTATTATTATTATTATTATTATTAGAAGAAGAAGAAGAAGAAGAAGAAGAAGAAGAAGAAACAATAATAACAACAACAATAATAAGAGCAACAACAGAAAACAACAACAAAACAATAACAAAGACAAGAATACGAACAAAAATATTTACACATAAATGGCTGATTTTCATAGTATGTGTTTTCCTCATCATAGGAGTTTTATCAAAAATTCATTTTTGAAGAAAAATAACTCTATCTATAATTCTATCTTAAACCAGATAATTATGTATCACAAAAGTACAAAGCCATGTCAATAAAACATAATATAGATAACTACAGTAAAATATAAAACACTCCTAAAAATAGAACCTGCAGAAGATAACTTATTTATTTATTCAAAACATCAGATTATAAAACACGCCACACTTAAGTTTGAACTCAGATATTTCTTTTATTGTTTTCCCTTTGGTCCAGGAACCCATTTATAGCATACACGTTAAGAAATGAATTCATTTCGCAATGGCTTGTAAGATCTCCCAGTGACAGGCGCGTTTCAAATACATATAATAATATGTTCTTAGAAAGAAGAGAAACCAATTTAAAAGTGAAAGTGAAAGTAGAAATTGAACAAGCGCAAAATCCGAAACAAGAGAAATAACCGGAACTCATTGCTGAAAAGTAATGCCCGTTTTGTCCAACCCCGGGTACCACTGCCAAGGCTTTAAACGTGTGGTGATCAACTTGCCAAGTCTGTCACCAGTCCATTATACATCTTGACTGCTACAAGTGCATTAAATATTTTATTAACCATATGCAATATGACATTGAACTCGTTCTTAAGTCGACCATCTTGCTGTGAACGATGCATCTCTTTCTCTTGCCCTCTCTCTCTCTCCCTCTCTCTCTCGTGTGCTTGCCTGCCCATTCTACAGCCACTTACGAACGGAAGCGAGCTTTTCAAATGTTCCAGCTGTTATTTGGTTGGCTTGTCTCCAGGTTGGCGGCCACTTTCGGGTGAAAATGTTTCCCTGTGGGGACCCAGCTGCTTCGGTCAGTCAAAGTGTCCGAACCGAAATGCGAAGTGACCACTGGCTATTATCGCTGTGCGCCGTCCGTCCACTCTGAGCGCTACCTCTCCGACATGCCCTGGCTAGTCGACAGCACAGGTCCTGCCGCGGGGAAGCAAATCGGTTTTTGCCGCGTCTTTTCGTTTGTTGGCTTCAGTCTTTCCATACCGCTTTGCCACTTACCAACCTTCACAGTAACCGCTTAGGTAAAGACAAACATATATTCCCCTTCTCTGCATGTGCACCAATTCGCGCATTTTTCTTATGCTCCACAATTTGCTCTTTTTTCTTTCTTTCTTTTTATTCTTTCTTTTGTTCTTTCATTTTTCTTTGGTCTTTTAAATTCTTACTTATTTTCTTCGATTTTTCATTATCTATCTATCTATCTATCTATCTATCTATCTATCTATCTATCTATCTATCTATCACTAACACCCACGGTGCTCTACATCATATTCTTTCTTTCTTTCTTTCTTTCGTTTTTATTCTTACTTTTGTTCTTTCATCTTTCTTTGGTCTTTTAAATTCTTACTTATTTTCTTCGATTTCTCATTATCTTTTTTCTATCTATCTATCTATCTATCTATCTATCTATCTATCTATCTATCTATCTATCTATCTAGCTATGAACAACACCCACTGTGCGCGACTTTATATTCTTTCTTTCTTTCTTTCTTTCTTTCTTTCTTTCTTTCTTTTTTAACATAATTTATTTTTCTTGTTTTATTTTCTTAGTTTGTTTCTTTTTATTTATTTTTCTTTGATTTTAATTTTTTTCGTTTATTTTGACATTGTTTTTTTTATTTCTTTTGTTCGTTTTTTCTTTGATATTGTTTTTGTTCTTTCTTTCTTTTCATTTGTTTATTTTCTTTCTTTCTTTCTTTCTTTCTTTCTTTCTTTCTTTCTTTCTGTTCCCCGCATTATTTCTCCCTTAATTTTTACTTCTTGTATTCTTTCGATCTCACTAAACTGTCCATATCTATTTTATGTTTATTTCATTGAATCCTTTATTAACCCGATTGCCTTTATTACCACGGTTTCCTTTATTACCGCGGTTTCATTTATTACCGCGGTTTCCCTTGCAGCTGCTTCCCTTTTTTGTTCTCTCTCTCTCCATTCCCCCCTCTCTCTCTTTAATTCAATGTGTTTTCTTCCGTCAATGAACACTCTTTGCTTATGTTCCAATTTTGAACAAACCAACGGAGAATATAGGAAATAGGATACAAAATATTCAAAGCCAATAAATGATTAAAGTATTCCCTGAAAAATCAAATGTGGAAAAATAAAAACTACAAATGTTACAATATATTTTCTTTTAGAGTCTGTCTATATTTCTGAGATGAGGTATTATGTACATTATTTACATTATTCGGACTATTGTCCTCATCTTTGTCGCCATATTTATCACAACGTTTCGGCCGTTGTACGCTCCGGCTGTCTTCAGGTGGTTGAAATTTCAAGGATACATGGCACAGTGGTTAAAGGCGTTGGTTAGATCCAGTGACAGGACTCAAAGAGTGTGAGTTCAATACCCGGTTAAGGCAGTGGAGAACTTTCAGAGGGAAATTAACAGGAGATAACTGATAACTGGCATCCATTAAATATGGCACGTGGAACTAGAACAGTCTACCCCAGTGAGTGAAATAAAGGGTTCAGTTCGACATTCCAACCACCTGAAAAAGGCCGGAGCGTACAACAGCCGAAACGTTGTAATAAATATGGCGACAAAGATGAGGAAATAATCTGAAGAATGTATATTTTCTTTTATTTTTTTTTTATTATTTTCACACATTTTGGAGGGTTCAAGTTACAAAATGTCTAATCCCATAGAAAAGAACTTAAATGAGTTTTTTTTTTCATTGATTTCATATTAAAATGCCTGAAGTGACAGGAAACACGCCCATCCCCAGCGTTTTGTGGGGGTGCGGTATTAAGTCCGGGAGGTGTGATAGGTGGGGAAATACGTTTAAATTCTCAAAACATGGTTCGCATATTACGTTATACAGAAATACATAAATTTTGGCAGTTGTAGATTTTACTAGATTACTGATGAAATGTTTGTTACTATATAATAATAATATACTATATGGTTTATTGTTTTTACAAGAGGGGAAGGAGGCTTAACTAAATGACCTACTAGAGTTACAAAAAAAAGAGAGAGAGAGAGAGAGAAGGTTGAACTCTATATAAAGAGATATTGCTATTTATAGTGATCTTTGATTAAACTGTACTATTATTGCATGACAGCATAAAGGAAAAAATTATCTCAGCGATTTTAGAATAAAATCATTTTCGCTTCTAAAAGTAACACATAATGTATTGTTTCAAACTCAAAAAGGGATATTTAGTTAAGAGCTATGAAGCTGTTTACCTCCCAATAAAGGTACGATATAACACAGACACATTTAATGTGGGGCTCTGCACCTATACATCTGGGTATTGCCGAAAATTGTCCATTTTCCTTGGCAATTCCTTATTGAGGTGCTTCAGACATCGGAGACTGATTCTGATTCTACTTCTTTTAAGTTCAATGAGATGCAGCTGTCACTTGATTAATTATTGGTTTCAATTCCCATAAAGGAGGTGCAAATGAAAATTTAATCAACAAATATGAAAGTATATTTTTATTTAGTTATTTGAGATAATTCAACAAAAATAAATAATCATATTATTTTTTTATTATAAGAATTTGGTCTAGATTTTTACCAACCGTTAAAAAATTAAAAAGAAAAAAATTATTATTATAATTAGGAATTGATTTTTATTCCTTCAGTTCGTGTTATGTAAAAATATGACAGAAAGTTTTATTTACCTTGTCGAGATACGTACTGTGTAATCTATTTAGAATTTAATTAGTGGTCATATTTTCCTTCGTTTAAAGGATTTATAAAGAGTTCTAAGTGTAGGAGTTGTGTAAAGGATATTAGCGCAGAAAGACTAATCGGTAAATTGAATTTAATTCTCAGCATAGGTTGCTGCAGTCACTTTTGCCCTAAATACATTTAGAAAAGGCGCGAATATATCTCTTCGCGGATTAGGCTTAAATAGAAGGGTAGACTGGGGCCTCCAAGTTTATATGTCACCCAGTATGGAAAATGAACCATTATGAAATCAATACCGTGAGTAAGGCGAAAGAAAATTTTTATATCTTCCCCAAGAACGCATTGGATTTCTCAGATAACAAAAGGATTATGTTTGTATTCTGTTTTTCTTATTCTAGTTTTTATTAATCTACAAAATATCCAAAGGAGTCATCATAAATAATTTGATAAATAGAGCACATTATATGTACAAAATAATTTAACGAACTGAAAAAAAAAACAAAAAAATAACAAAAAAAAAAACATAAAAAAATATTAACAATAATTTCGTTATCCACATAGTCGACGACAATTTAAACTAAGCTTTGAAAAACTTTAAAAATACAATAAAAAATAGGAATACAGTAAATTGCGATGGATAAATCGCGTTTTAGTCCTAAAAAGATATTTCCAAAACTAGGATTCGTCTAATATGGTAGGTATAAAATGCAAACCATTACCACCGAGTTATAAATAACAATATGAGGTTAGTGGTGACATTGGTTGCTTGTTTACATCATTGATACAAATCTCGGATGATTGATACTGCGTGTTATAATGACATACGATATGTATCAATATTGTGATAACAAAATAAACATATCCCATTTCCCCTCTCGCTTGTAACCATCCATCACATTAAGATAAACGTTTTTCTGTACTGAAGCTGAACTAACAGAATAAAGCTTCTACTTAGTATTACTATGATGTGTCATCTACAGTTTGATATTTTATAGTTGAGGAAGACTTTAATGTGTTTTTCCGATTAATTTTAAATGTTCGCTAGATTATACTGATATAATATACGATAGCCACCGGTGTGTTTTGTAAACAGTTTCCTATACATCTCATATAGTGTTGTGGCCTGATAGGGGCCAGAAATAAAGACATGTAAAGAAGAAGGTAGTTTGAACAAGTGTATTGAAATAACAGAACATATATACAAAATAAGAGTGTTATTAGTCAGCAGATAGAAGTGTCCGTCCGAACCATCAGGTTACAATTTGTCCAACCTGGCGATATTTAACAGTCCCCTCATGCAGAATGTATGTGGCACAAGGAGGAGTTTACTGTGGGTTCTTCGAGCCCTTAGGGTCGGCCAAAAATATCTCCACAGAACCCCCATTAGTGGGTTTGGGTCTGTCTAACACCCTGGACGAAACTGCCTTTCGGCATAGCTTCATCCGGGTTTCTCTCTGCCAAAACACAGGGATCGACTGCTAATATTTAACAGTACCCCCGCCCGCCTACGCGGGATATATGTGGTACAAGGCCGAGTTTACCGTGGGTTCTCCGAGCCTGTAGGCTCGGCCAAAGTTATTCCCTTAGAACCTGTATAAACGTGTTTAGGGCCTGTCTACCTCCCCGGACGAAACTTTGCCCTTCGGCAAAGCCTCGTCCAGGTTCCTCTCTGCCAAAGCAGAGAGTTCAACAGAAGTCGCACACAGTCAGAAAACTGCGTCACGACTGCCGATATTTAACAGTCCCCCCACAAGGAATGTATGTGGCACAAGGCCGAGTTTAACGTGGGTTTCTCCGAGCAGCTCGTAGGTTTGGCCAAATAATAATCCCTTAGAACCCGCATAAGCGCTTTCGGGATCTGTCTACCTCCCCGGACAAAAGCTATGCCCTTCGTCAAAGCTTTGTCAGGGTTCCTCTCTGCCAAAGGAGAGGGTTCGACAGACGTCGCACACAGTCCGAGACTGCGTCCCGACTGCCTGATTAGGAAGTCTCGCAGGTTAGTGTTTACGAAGGAAGAAGAGTTCATTCTTATGTGTCACCATAACATATAGAAATATATTATGGTTTCTTACTTAATATGGTGGTAAGTGGTTTGACCTTATGTAATTTTGGCACAGGTTATCGTACAACTTTGTGCAAATTAATTGAAACAACTGCTTTAGTTTCCTTTATTTCACCATACGCTCAGTTTTAGACCCACTGGAGCGACAGGGTGGAATCCATTACTATTTTTACTCAGATTAGGTCATTTGTAGTGTTTTGCAGTAATATTTTCGGAGTGTATGATGAAATTTATTTGGCCTTGAAAAATATTGCATCATCCGTGATACTTCAGTTATTACGTCCAGACACTATTGACTGGACTGTCGATTAGTTGTCCTACGGTCATTGTCTGTAATGGACATCATCCAAGGAAGTATACGAAAATTGTAACGTTGCACGAACACACTGGTAAGCTTTACCAGTGAGCAAATTAGATTACTATAGACTGTGCCGGAAACTCTCCTGATTTAAATCCACACGAGAATCTGTGGTCAATCTGTAAGGAAAGACTTCGTGGGATGCACATACGAAGTACTAATGTATGCAGTGGGCCATGTTTCATTGGAAAAAAATATAAAAAATAATGAAATTATTCATTTTGTTTCAAATAATTTACACGAGGGTATATACTGTAGCCTAACTTCATTTACCAGTAGACCTAAGATTTGGGCCACTGGTAATCTACCGTATGTTTGGGGAACAACCTATACGTTATATATAGCCCTAACTCAAGTCATCTTGTACGTCACATTGAATTGTACATCGATATTTATCGTAATGTAATTAAAACTAATTTTTAAAAAAATATTACATAGTAACAATGTACCGCATGAGCAAA